GAGGTTCTGTAGGTCAGTGATGTTCTGTAGGTCAGGGAGGTTCTGTAGGTCAGTGATGTTCTGTAGGTCAGTGAGGTTTTGTAGGTCAGTGAGGTTCTGTTGGTCAGTGAGGTTCTGTAGGTCAGTGAGGTTCTGTTGGTCAGTGATGTTCTGTAGGTCAGGGAGGTTCTGTATGTCAGTGATGTTCTGCAGGACTGTGAGGTTCTGTTGGTCAGTGAGGTTCTGTAGGTCAGTGAGGTTCTGTTGGTCAGTGATATTCTGTAGGTCAGTGAGGTTCTTTTGGTCAGTGATGTTCTGTAGGTCAGGGAGGTTCTGTATGTCAGTGATGTTCTGTTGGTCAGTGAGGTTCTGTTGGTCAGTGAGGTTCTGCAGGACTGTGAGGTTCTGTTGGTCAGTGAGGTTCTGTAGGACTGTGGCAGCAGTTTTACTGCACATGCTGACAATCCCCAAGAGTTTGTTCCTGTTTTTATAAGTCAAAAGTCCAAACCATCAGATAAATGTAACTGTTTAGACACTCAATAATTTCACCTGATCTTTAGCCACTAGTTTCAGGTGGGATTCAGTGTCGCCCACTCTGGCCCTTTCAATGCATTTGACTGTGGTTTGAGTCGCAGGTGCCACGTTTCGTCATGTTACAATGAGAGTCTGCTCCTCGGCAGGTGTCTCACTAAGCACAGAAAACTGATTTGAAAGTAGAACGGGTCGGCGGTTGACCGAGGGCTTAGTTTTAGTATTATATTTTTCTTTGGACCGTCACGCAGTGGGGCTCAGGTTCAGGACAGCTAAGTGGAGGAAACTGATTTGAAAGGTGGTTTTAATGGGAGAAGAATAATTTGAAATGTCATTCAAAACGTCAACAGGTTGATGATGAACCGGGGGTTTAGTTTTAGTGTTAGGCTTATTTTGGGCTGATACCCCACGGGCCTGTGGTTCCAGACTGCTAAGGGGAGGAAACTGATTTGAAATGTGATTTAAAACAGAAGAAAACTCTTTTAAAACATCATTCAAAACATGAATCTGACTAACGTCGATTTTTAGTCTCATTTTTTAATTATTCTTGTCAGGTTTTTTTTTTTGCCATCAGCGAAATCAAGGATTAAAAAAATAAAATCAGACCGGTCTGAAGTCACACACACAGTCACACACACAGTCACACACACACACAGTCACACGCACACACACACACAGTCACACACACACAGTCACACACACACAGTCACACGCACACAGTCACACACAAGGACATTTTTTGAGCAACCGCCCAATCTTTACCACAACAAACTTCTGCTCATCCTTCTCGTTGTCATTTTAAAACAAATTTTCACACAATTTCATTGTCATAAAATTTTTCACACACAACCAATTTTGTGTTTTATTTTTTCTCTCCCAGCTAGATGTGCTTTGTAACGGAGAGATCATGGGCCGAGATCACACTCTGGAATTCATCTACATGACCCGATGGAGGCTGCATGGAGAGAACGTAAGGCAGCCATGTTTCAGCTTCCTGTTTACATGTGAGATGTACGGTGGCCGTGAGGTGTAAATGAACAACATTTCAAAAGACAACATTTGAAAAACAGAACTGCATTTGAAAAAATTTAATTACATTAAGCAAAACCGTAAGTGGTGGGGGATTTTTTTTACTGTATTTTTTTAATTACTTTATTAACAACATAAAATGGAAGAACAGAACAATTTATAGTACACACACAATGGAGGTACAGTTAGCAGGCTAGCCTTTAGCCTGTAGAAATGGAGAGCTATGTTTTGTTCAAGCTCGGCAGGATCTTCAAGGTTTTTAAGTTTTGTTGACCCAAGTTTTAGTTTTACATTTTAGGTTTACTGGTGCGGCATTAGTAATACTGTATACATAATTAGGCGTGTCATTTACAAAAAGAGGCCAAAATTAAAACCTTTTTCAAACTAAGGGCCAGTTTCAGAATCTACATGAAGTCAAGTTAGATACCCAACATCTTGTCTTGGTTGCAGGTTCCTCAACAAGAGTTTGATCGGTCTCATTTGATGTTCTCGGTTGCACTTTTGACATCATAATCAAAGATTACTGAAAAAATTAAAGTGAAAAAAGTATTTTGCATTCAAAACAACATCTTGGGGGCCAGATAAGATGTCAACGGGGGCCACATTTGGCCCCCGGGCCTTGAGTTTGACACATGATTTAAACGATCAAACTAACATGATGCGAGCCCCCAGATTTTGCTAATTATAAATATATAGATTTGACCACAGAATCGACATCATGTGATAGTTAGTGTGTGTACTGTACACTGTTCTGTTTTATGTTAATAAAGTAAAAAAAATACAATAAAAACAAACCCCACCACTTCTGGTTTTTCTTCTTTTTTTTTTCTTTCTGGTTTTTCTTATTGTAATTTCGTTTTTTCCAAATGTGATTCTGGCCACATCAGTTTTGGCTTAATGTAATTCTGTTTTTTCAAATGTTCATTTACACCTCACAGCCATCATAGAGATGGTGATACAAATAAATTTTTAACAAAAAAATGTGAAAGTGTAATCAAATCTCTGTAGAGGTTTTGTGTGTGTGTGTGTGTGTGTGTGTGTGTGTGTGTGTGGCTGTCCTAATTCAACACAGAGTAAAGATTATTAAAAAGTCCAAAAGGATGGATACAAAAACATTTCCTAGACCCTAAACAGCTACTGTTAAAGAGAACTCATTAAAGTTTACTATATGACATGTGAAGGTCTGCATGGTCAAGTGCTTCAGCGCGTCTGGCCTGGTTGAGTTCTGAGTTCTGTTAAATCCATCATGAAGAAGTAGATGATGGATTTAACAGAACTGTTGCGTTTTTAAAAAGTCTATTGCGTTTTCGTGTTTTTTTGTTTGCCACGCTTCCTAAAGCGTAGACTGGTGAAGAACCGGAGCAGCAGGTCGTCACACCTGCTGAAGGCTGTATGAGCAAGTGGTCACAAGTGACTTGTGCCCCTTTTGCACTGCCCCTAATCAGCCCCAACTCTGCTCAGCCCTGCACACCCCTGCTCAGCCTGGCTCTGCTCAGCCTGGCTCAGCTCAGCCTGGCTCTGCTCAGCCTGGCTCTGCTCAGCCTGGCTCAGCTCAGCCTGGATTTGCACCTGCACTTTAGGACCCATTCTGGAGGCGTGTCCAGAATCCAAGTCCTGCTAATGAGAGTTCTGCTCCTCAGATAAATATTAAATTATTATTTTTATATATGAATGTTTCTGTTCAGTGCCCTGAGACGAGTTCTGTTGTGACTTGGCGCAGTATAAATAAACTGAACTGAATTAAATCTGATGAACCAGATTCTACAAAAACATTTATATTTAAATCTAAAAAAGTTAAGTAAAAACAAAAAATGTAGAAACATTTCTTCTTTCATCTGAAAGACTTCTTCAGTCTGAGCTGCTGTCTTCAGCTCATAGCTGTTTATATAAGACTGAGCTGAATACAGCTCCTCAGACTGAAGAAGTCTTTTGGATGAAAGAAGAAACGTTTCTACATTTTTGTTTTTTGTTTGTTTGTTTTTGAATGTCCAGAGGACCAGACTTAACTTTTTTAGATTTTTCTACCTGAATTATTGAGCATGTATCAGGATATCTATATTTAAAATTCTACAAAGTATATTTTTCTTCATCATTTGATGCGTTTGCACTCATTGTGCTTTTGTTTCTTGTATACAGATTATTTTTTTCTTGTTTACAGATTCTTTTTAGCTTTGAATTAAAGTTTAGCTTTGATTTAAAGCTTTAATTTAAAGTGTAATGCTTGTTTAGTGATTTGTACATCTGTGGGTTAGAATAATGTTGAACCAAAGGCTGTGTCTCTTCTTTAAACATGTTTGAGGGAAATATGAGAGATACAATAATTTTGTGTCTTTTTTATGATTTTTTAGTTTAATTAATTTTAATTAAAATATTATTTAATAAAGTCAAAGGGAAAACAGGATTTCACGATAAAGGGGGAACCGTTTATTTGTTTTTAATCTTCACTGATTAAAAAAAATAATAAATTTATACATAAAATGTTTAAAAAAAAAAAAACGTTTCCACCCCCAGTCCCTCCATCCCGGTCCTCCCGCCTGCCAGGGCTTGAATCCAGCCTTTATGAGCAGACGAGGCCGGGGCTCGGGGTCAGGCCTCGCGGGCTTCAACGTCTCGGCAGCTCGTATGATCCTCCGCGGTGACTCGCTCGAATTTTATAGTCGGTCACCAAACACAAAATACACCTGGACTTCAGCATTAAACACGGCGTTGTCATTATTGTTTTTAACATCTTTAAAATAGATCCAGCTGCTGCTCCGCATCCAGAGAAATTGCAAATGACAGATCTGTGAAAAGTTTCTGAGATCCAGTGACTCCTCCCCCTGACCAATCAGAGTCCTGCATTCACGTTTCGGTCCAGACTCAGCTCGACTGAGCTCGCTCGGTCCCACCAGAGAAGCAGGGACGAAAAGAGGTCCTGAATCAGCCTCAAATCAGCTAAAAATACGAGCTAAAGTGCTGGTGCAAAGGAGTTCTTTCTGTGGCGGGCTGCCCAGAATTGGGGCTTATTAGGGGCGGTGCAAAAGGGGCATTGGTTGGTGGCCTCTCTCACTCCTCTCCTCGGTCGCTCACACGTCTCATATTCCTTCTGTTTCTTGATGATGGATTTAACAGAACTCCTGCAGATATTTAGAGCTTTGGAAATCATTTTGCATTCATCTCCTGACCTGTTCTTTTCTATACAGTAGTCCTTGGTTTATCGCGGGGGATCTGTACCCTGAAGCCCCGCAATAAGTGAAAAACCACGAATTAGGGAAAGTAGTACAAGTAGTAGTAGTTTATTTTAGTATTTATGTATATAAAGGCTTTAGAAACCCTTCCCACACTCTTGTAATATTCTAAACAATGTTTCTAAACTCTAAATGCTCTAAAAGAGCACAGAATGTCATGACCTCTGCTCTCTGCCATCTGCCAGCGCTCCTGGCTACGCCCACTTCTCCTCTGCTGAGTGGAGATATGACACGCTGCAGGGCGGAGCTTCTCCTGCAGCTGTGGGCTGCACACTGGTGCAGCAGGTGCTAAATAATTTAAAACCATATATTTTAAATAAAATGTTCATGCTGATCGTGCGGTTCATCCATCAATCAGCCAACTGTGTGTCATGTCCAATCTGATTTTGAAAAACCGCGAAAGAGAGAGTCCACGATAAACGAACCGCGAAGTAGCGAAGGACTACTGTAATCTTTTCTATGAGTTTAATTAATGCAATAACTTTAAAGGGAGTGAATTTTTATACAGTCATATATTTTGCAGTACATGTTTTTATGTAATTGGCTGTAGAAAACTGACACTGTTTGACATTGAAGTTTTTTTGAACATCTTTTTTGTCAGAAAAGCCAGTTTAAATTGGTTGTGATTAATTTATGACAGCAATAAAAACAAAGCATCCAAGGGGGTGAATTTTTTAATAAGTACACTTTTATATGTGCGCTATTGATTAATGCAAATTGTGATCAAGCACAGTAAATATGCTGTAAAACCAGTGAGATTGATTTCCTGCAGAATTAATAAAATGAACCAGTACATGTATTTTAATGACACCTTTAAAAAGTAATTACTCAATGTTTATCTCCAAATGATTAACTTTTGGGGTCAACCCCATTTAAGATGGCTGCCACATCCAGCTGACATTCAAAAATGGTTTGAACTCAGACAGTTTTACAGATATTGACCAAACATTAGGTGCAGCAGTACACGAGACTGACCCCATGACTAATTTTGAACCCGAACAGCTTGCATAAGATCTTTGTAAAAAAAAAAAAAGACTGCCTAATAATTATTTGCTGTTAAATCTGTCTTTTAGCAAACTATTTAATGACTAGACAATTTTTTGTGAAACTTACAGAAAAATTCAAGATGCACACCAACTGACCTTAGAAAACAACAAAATAGTTACAATTCAGTCCGTATTAAAGAGCGTATGCTAAAATTTGATATGATTGTAGTTTCATTCACAACACATTCTCTTTTGTGCTACTCACTGATATGACCCAACTTAGACATGACTATAAGTCAGTTGTACAGATACTGAGTACAAACTGAATGTGGTAATAGCCGAGAGTAATCCTTAACACATTGAGAAATAACACATTGAGAAATAACACATTGTATGAGATCTTGCATGAAATGTTGCATAATGTATTGTAGGTTTGACCAAAAAGGCTATAACTGCCTCTTCTCATCAAATAATCATCGTAGTTTTAAATTCTGGGTTGAAAGGCGTCATGTGAGATGCAACACGTTAATAAATGCAAGGCCACCTACAAAGCTGCCCGCTATGCAGAAAAACAAAATAAAATGCTGAAAACCTGCCAAAAGCTTTAAAACACAAGTTCATGCACTGGATCTGAACACAAATATGTAGAAAGAAAGAGAAATTCAGTGACACTCTGTTTGGACTGTGTTTTTTTTTTTTTTTTTTTGGTTTGAAGCATGATGCTGCAAAATCCAGTCCACATGACGGCAGCTGCTGCAGCAACACCTCGAGCTGTCAGGAATAGAAGGCCAGAAATAGGCCTCACTCTGCAGCCAAAACCACATAAAGAGCTGTCAAAAATAAAATAAAAATCAACATCCGTGTCAGACATGTTCATGTTTTTGTTGAGAAGACACAACCCAAGTTAATAAGCACAAAACCTGAGTGACAGGTGGATCTCGCATAAATTAAACGAGCCTCGAGGCCGAACAGAATTATTTGCACCAAGATGACAACACAACAGTAAGTGTTGGCTCCTAAGGCTCAGTGTTTAAAATCCCTCCTGCAGGTTGACAGCATGCAGTTAAGGATCGCTGTTGCAGCTTCAATTTTAGAGTAAAAGCTGTAAAATATTCATTCTTTTTTCTGGAAAGTGCAGCAATGTGGCGTCGTATCCAGAACCCTTAGACAGAAAAAAATGGAGACCATCTCAAGTTATATGACAACAGTGTAAGTTTTAAATGAAACATTGAGGTTCTCAGGTAATGTTCTGTTGATTATTGTATTTTTCACCCTATAAGTCACATTTTTTGTATAATTTACATGCCCTGCGACTTATAGGCCGAAGCAACATATTTATGGATTTTTTCTCATATTTATAAACCAATTTTTGGTTGAGATATGACCGTTTTCATTCATTCTGACTGGAAAAAAAAAAAAAACTGTACCATTTTCAGCCACTAGATGGCAGCAGAGTAGTAGTAGCAGTAAGGCATGCTGTTGTGTCATGTAATAGGTAAACGTGGCTATAATGACAAATTCAAAAAAGTTCAAGAGAAAACAACTAGACTTTATTTATTATACTATACTTTATACTTTATTGTTTTGAACTTTTTTTAAATTTACCATGTCCTGAATGACTGAGATTCTTCACCAGTTATTAAAGACACAATCGGCTTGCCATAGCGTGCCACTTTCGTTCTGCTCGCTGCTTGGAGCAACTGTCAAACGAGCTGCACCACCCCAGTGAAATGCAGCTAATTTGACCATTAAAGTGCATTTATTAAGTATAAAAGTTCAACTGAGACACACCTTTGCTATAATTTTGAGCAAACAAATAATTGTTTTTAGGTGTTTATCTTGTTAAATTTTGAAGATATGTGGAGACTCGTCCCTCTGCCCGCCGCTTCCGCAAATCCTGTTTTGAAATACAGATGATTTGACCGTCAAAGTGCATTTATTAAGCAAAAGTTAGACTGAGACACACCTTTACTATAATTTCGAGCAAACAAATAATTGTTTTTCAGTGTTATTCTTGTTAAATTCTTGTTAAAGTCCTACCATACACGTTCCCGCGACCGCCATTTGGCAGCCCATCGGTTTTTGGCACAACACCGGCTCCACATTTCCGAGTTGTCAGCGGTGACGTGTAACAAACGCGTCGCGTCAGCGGTGACGCATAATAGATGCAATGTATACAGCGAAGTGACATATTTATGGAATTTTCCACTTTTTTAGACAAATATGGACTAAATCGACTTATAGGGTGGTGCAACGGGTACGGCAGAGAATATTGTATTTATCAATAGGACTTTTCATCTGTGACATAAATCACAGAACACAGTGTATGAAGAAAAGAGCAGAAGTCCACGTGGCTAATGTGCACAGTGTGCACACCTACACTCTCATTGACTTCCACTGAAACTGAGTTCAGACTGTTTTCTTCAAAACCTGAAGGGGAGGGTCTCTTTAACCGGTCATGTCATGCCTGAAAAGCATGGCTGTATACTGTCTCTCTCCCTTTTGCTTTCCAGAAGAGGCAGGAATCACAATGGAAAACAGTGATCCTGCTAGTTTTTAGTGGATCTTGTATTATTCAGCAGGTTCTGCTTTGTAGTATTATTCCACTATTCACTGGCGCCCCCATAAATTCTCAATAATTTTGTTCTGATTTAAACCTTGAGGTGAAGGAGGATTTAAAACCTGTCAGGTTTACTTGGATAGGACCCAGAATGCAGATAATTTCTAGGAGCTCAAATAAACATAACTTTATCATAATAAAACCAAAGGCTGACGTGACAGCTTCTAACAATAAAACAAACAAACAAACAAAAAAAACAAGGAAACACGTAGATGAAAAACTCTGGAGCAAACCACGTTGTGGTACAACATCAACAATGCACTGCTGTTCTGTAAATGGCAGGACACAGAATATAAAGACGAGGTTAAGTGGGAGACTGACTGCAGCCAAGACTAATGAGGAATGATGAACAGGTAAAGTGGGCGTGGCAGGATGACTGGAAAAAAAACAGAAACTGACTGAGGACAGGTGAATGATGGCACAAATGAACCACACAAGAAAAATGAAACAAGTAAGTAAAACTCTATACCAGACAGCAATAACTGCAACAAGAAATATATAAACAGACTGGACAAGATCGAAACTAACTGGGGGGTAAACAAGGACTGATCCGGTAAAGACACAGGTCAAACACAAGAATCCAAGTCCAGAAAACAGAACATGATAAACAAAAGGGGAACGAAGTCTTATCTAAAACGCAACGAGCCATCAAAAGGAACCAAAATAGATTCTAACAAAACCTCTAGAACATGAAGGACAATCAGAAAAAGATTTTAACTTGAAGTTTCAAAATAAAACGTGGTACTCTTAAATAAGTACATTTATCTGAAAACTCTCTCTAAACTTTGTGCTTAAACTCAGGAGTGCCAACATTCCTGACGAGTATTTGTTGTGTCTTAAGAAACAGAAATTTTAGTTTGATCAAGTATTTGTTGCAAATATATTTCTCTTATAGAACCGGTTCAAAATAAAAGTTTCTCTTTAATAAATGATGACCTGCAACAGAATCTTCCTGCTGATCCAGTATTTATGAAACCACCACTCTGTGTAGTTTTCCTCTGGCCTGGTTGGATAATAAAGCATGAAATGGATTTTTATTCTGAAACACTTTTTCTTTTTTTGTTTTCCTGCCTTCCTCAGACATATCCCATGGTTCTGGAGTACCGGCCACGTATTGACTTTGGCTGAATCACGCCTGCAAAAAGAAGACAACAATCACAAGCACGCACACACATAATATATGCACTCAATCACATCCATCAATCCATTGTTTTTACTCACTTCTTCCTTTTGGGGTCACGGGGTTACTAGTGTCCATATCCAGCCATCACTTTATGAGAGGTGTGGGACACCCTGGACAGGTCTCCAGTCCATCACAGGGACACATAGAGACAAACAACCATCCACTCTCACACCTAGGGACAATTTAGAGTTACCAATCAGCCTAACATGCATGTTTTTGGTCTGTGGGAGGAAACCGGAGTACCTGGAGAAAACCCATGCAGCACGGAGAGAACATGCAAACTCCACCCAGAAAGACCCCTGGCTGAGATTTGAACCGGCGACCTTCTTGCTGAGAGGCAGCAGCTCTATCAACTTTAAACATGTCTAAAATGTGCAGATAAAGAGAAATTTAAATGTATTTTTGTACAGCTGATGATGAAGTGCTTTTGTTGTTGCAGTAAAAAGCTTTCATGTCGCATAGAATAATATATGCTATAATATATGATATTTTTAAATGTATGTCCCTGTGCCTAAATACCTATTTGAATCAGAACTTAAGTATGATCAGATCTCCAGTTTGCCTGTCTAACTAACTGTAGATTAAATGTTGATTTTCTACCGTAGACTCTTGTGTGTATTTATTCTTTGGCTTTAGTTTTGATCACTTTTCTTGTCATAAATGTGACCCATCACATCAAACCGAGGATTAAATTTGATTTGGTCAAACTAAACCACGTTTTCATATCCATGGATTTTTGTCCCTGCAAAGAGAGAAATGAGGCTCAATGGGCTTAATCTGTATAAAGGTTGAATGAATTAAAATTTCTCTCCATTGTGCCCTATGCACCCCCCCCCCCCCATCATTACTATAGTTATATAACCTCATAATATAAATAGAACCAAGCTCAGTATTTGAGTGCTCTTAAATATTCCAAATATTAAAAGGCCCTAATATTACAGCCGTGGCTAAGAGGTTGGAACAGTCGTCCTCCATTGCAAGAGTTGGGGGTTCGAATCCATCAGCAGTCACATGCCAAGTGTCCCTTGGCAAGACTGAACCCCTCATTGCCTCTAATGTGTGTCCCATTGGTGTATGAATGTGATAAAGTTCTGATTAGTCTCTTTAGAATGATTTGTTCAATTAGCTTTGTAGAGCTCTAGTAGAGTGCTGTATGAATGGGTAAATGAGGCACAGATTGTGTTGTAAAGAACTTTGAGTATCCTGATAAGACAGAAAGGCACTATATAAGTAGTCCATTTACCATTTACATCTTGGCACACAATATAGCAATGGCATTTCACCATCTCAATGTACCTTCAACTTAAATGTTTCAAAGTTAACACTAGGGGCTAGTTACTTATTGCAAGAGGCTTATTTTTCATTATCCAGAATGATCAATACAAATGCAGGTGTTCAAAAATAGTATAACACCATCAGTGACATTTAGTATAGAAAAGTATTAATGTTTGATAATTAATTTTTCTATAAGCACATTCAAATAAATCTAGCAATAGCAGTTAGCACACAGCCAAATACAATAACCTGGAGGCTAGCACTAGCATGCTAGCTCCAGAAACAAACAAACTCACCAGTTCCCACTTTTAGAATCCATAGTCAACTGAAGATTTTTTTCACAAAGACATCTAAAGGTTTAGAGGCATATCCATCAGAAATGACAACATAGGCATAGATAAATGGCTTTCAATGGCTTAAAGCCTCCCTGCAGCAGCTAGCCTAGCCTCAGTGTCACTGCATGATCTGTTCCGGGACCAAAATAAATTAAATAAATAAATTACACTTCACCACTTGCTCTTGCCGATATTGGACGCTTTTCCCATCCCCTCTCTCTCCACTTTGCTTTGCTGTTCTGTCTGTCTGTGAAACTGCTTCTGAGCCTCTCTTGCATATCTTCCAAACCATAATTATGGACTTGTTTTGATCAGTTGGTCCCTCAACTCAATATACAACATTTCTTTGAAAGAGAAGACAGGTTTTAGGCGAGCTGATTTGCCCTGTTGGCACGTACGCAGCTGGATATCTCATCAACTTGGAAGACTTGATGATGTGGCTATCTCTGCTGCCATTTGTGGATTTTAAGGACACATTTATAATTGGATTTACGATAACTGGTTTCTGCTTTTTGGCTTCGTCTGGTTGCTGGTTTTATCTACAATAAAGGAAGTCGTCAGCAGCAAATTTGGACCTGATCATGCTGCTTGCCTTTATGATGGCTTGGTTCGTGCCTCGAGTACCCAGACTCAAATGCTTTGGGCAGAATGGATCAGATCTCGGGGATTTTACTCAGTCATGTTCCTTCGGTGTGGCCATGTAATTTGGACATTTCGGAACCGAGTAGACCAACACAGATTCAAGGTAGATGTCATTAAGTTCTGCCTGTCCCAAAAACAACTGTGTGTTTATCTGAATTTGGCTCCCTTGGCTGGCCTTGAAGGTCATCTTATCTGAATTTGCCTAGAAAACATGATCTGACGCTCACCACCCCCTCCCTGAGGAATTTCCAACTGATAACCAGATGAAACCAGCTGAATAAACTTTGTGTCATCATTCCAGGACTCTTGGATTCTCATAGACGTTATTCTTGGCCATTCCGCAACATACCTCAAAAATGTTTATGGATCTCACCGGAGGACACTGGCTGATTATTACATCCTTATCAGAACTTTTACAGTGCCCTCGAGAGCATCTATGATCATGCTCACCGCTCTCGTCGTCCCCCTCTGCAGAATGTCTACGTCACTGTGTGTGTGAGGTGTTTTTTAACATCAGAGTTTTTTCTTGTCAGGCAGGAAAAAAAAGTCTGATAGGATTTTTTTTCACCTCCAATTCCTACATGTGTCCAGTTTCACTACTTTTTGTCTGTCTAAACAGATCTCACTTGTAAATGAGTCTTCTAGGCTCAATGTGACTTATCTGTCTAAATAAAGGTTGAATGAAAAAAAAAATCTGTTCTGGGACCGGAAGCACAATCCGTACAATGCAACCATATTCTGGGCATAGGAGTGGTTAACCCAGAATCTTCCTATCTCTTGTAATGAAGAGGAGCTATTGCGCATGTACAGCTTTTAACGAGAGTCTTTGGGCAAACATTCTTGTGCCCCCAGGCAAGGCCGGATTAACCATCTGGGCAACTGCCCAGGGGCCCATGATCTCTAAGGGGCCCAGGGTAGTGAGGGCACAAGCAAAATATCTAGTTATCTCCTGCTTTACTTGGAGCGCTGCACAGAATGCTGCGCTTCCGCTGCATTTGTGCAGCCCCACCTCCTTCCAGCGCGGCTGCTGCAGCGCTCGTTTTTTTTTTCAATTGGATCCTCAACGGTGCGACCTGTCAATCAACTCAGAAGGCGTGTTAGTAACTGACCAATCGACAACCTCAATTTGTCCCGAAGGTAAACGCCCCTTACCTGCTGACAAACTCATCAGTTTTTTTCTTGAGAAACATTGTTTTAATTAAAACAATAAGTTTGTATCTGTTGTGAGATGATTTTAGCAGTTTTGCAGATTTTTAATCTACTTAATGAAGAATAGTATGACTTAAAATCGTTCATCAAACGGGAAGGAAGGCTTATTATCCCTCCTCTTACTACAGTGAATGTGGTACTTTGCTATAAGTACGACTATATTTATGGCATCAGAGAAAACTGAGATGTAGTATGACATATCCTGAGATATATTTATACATTAAACGGGTTCTTCATTTTTCTGGACTGAATGATGTTGTGCATTGAATTTAATAAAATGTGGACGTGAGACGTTATTTATCTTTGACCCATCAAAAATGAATGTGGTCATTTATTTACAGAATCAAAGTTTAACATCAAACGTTTACATTAATTGGCAAGAATTAAAAAATAACGACATAATTAATCAGCTGAACAACCAGGAAAACCATACGGCCATGATTTTCCGTTGCTTCACCACAGACATTTCTGAAAACATCTGGATTAATTTGCTAGCAGATAGGAGAGTTTGAAGATGGAAAGTGAAGTTTGTCTACAGAGAGATGTGTGAGGGAATTTGTCTGTTTTAACCAGAACAGCACGCTCTTTTGGAAATCAGCTTGTCCCAACAGTACACTTTTGGTGAAGGTTGACTTTTACCTTTTCTGAAGATAGATCAGTTCCGGCGTGAAGTCCCACTTCCAGCCACTGTTCAGCGTCTCCATAAGAACAGCTGAAGACCTCGAGAGTCGTGTGAGGTTATCCAAACAGAAGTTATAATTCCCAAAATCGTCTCTGGTTCAGCTTGATTCTAATTCAGTAGCCTCCTGAATGCCAGCGTTCTGCATTCTGGAACTTCCAAAACTCTCTGCATCTGAATTCCAAAAACTCTGCTTGAACTACTGCTCCATCTTCAAGATTGAGCTTACAGCAGCTTCAAGACTGAGCTGAACTCTCTGAGCTGAACTCTTCTGGTTGAACTAGGAAGTGCCAACCTTTTAAGAAGGGTCACTTCCGGTTCATTTGAGAGCTTTTTGATTGGTCGATGGACCAAAGCAGAGGTGTGGTTTGTGATGTAAGGTGTTATTAAAAGTCAAGGAAAAGATTCAGATTGTTTAAGAACATACAGAAAGATATCATGGAAAAAACAGACTTCGTGGAGTCACTCCTCCTAGTATCTCGCTGTAAAAGTTAAACATGACATTTCTTTTCAGTAAACTTTTAGTTGACCGAAACTTGAACTTTGACACACTTACAAATTTGCTCACTTCAAAGCAGACGATCAAGAAATTGAATCATTACTCTGTAACGTACTCTAACTTGATTTCACTTTGAATTGAGGATTAAAATCATTACTACTGTTTAAGTAAATAAAAATGAGTAGTTCACTTCAACATGTAAACATTGTTTGAACTAACACAATTTGATTATCAAAACATTTGTAAAATAGTAATGATCATAGAGAATTGTCTTTTCCACTTGATTAATTCAAGAAAGAAAGTCTCAGGATCGATCAACCTGTATTTCTGGATGCAAATCAATGAAATGACAGTTTCTGACCATATGATCCTAAGGTCAAGATTTGACATCAGGTCAAGTTCACTACA